CCGACAGGCTAATGGCAAAAGATCGGATGTTAGTTGAGCTCCAACAAGACGATAGGAAACTACCCGATCGGGTCGACCTTCTTGAATCGCTTCGATTAGTTTTTTTTGTGCAATGCTCTGCAAGTAAATGATAACATTTTGACAGTCCTGAGCGATGCGTGCATGTCGATCGCGTTCTTCTCGTCGACTTATATTAGCTTTTCTGAGATGATCTTGAGCTGACAAGTTGGCAATATCTTAACAAGAACGCTTGTCGTTGCCTTCTCGATGTCGAATATCCGCCCCCTCACCGATGGTCGCTTTCGCTAGATCAATGTTGCCATCTTTTGCCGCTGCCCGAAGGTTTCCATTTGGTGCTCCAGTGAATAGGCCAAGTGATTTTTCACCTTTTGGATCTTCATCCCGAACGTCATGCGGTTGTATTTGATCAACAAGGACTGGCAACGGAATATCGCAAACATCAATGGCAGGATCGATTGTTTTTGGTGACATTGGTCGACGTTGTTCTCGTTCTTCAACGTCTGGACAATTCAATTGTTCCAGATATTGTATCAATTGTTTACTTTGGACTTCATCCTCTCTTGTCATCTTTGCTTTTTTTATTCTTACCAAATCCAATGGAGTCTGATTTGCATCATTTTTTGCTTCATGATCAGCTCCCCACAATACCAGATATCGAACGGTGAGCAAATGATTATTTTTTGCAGCTAAATGTAATGGAGTGTCCTTTGTGTCTTTATTCGAGATGACATTGACTTTCGATCCTGACAGTCGTAAGAATTGTACAATATCCATTTGTCCATATTCAGCAGTAATCGAGATTGGTTGTGCCCCCTCTTTGTTTGCATCCAAAGTTTCGATCAAAAACCGAACCAGTTGTAAATTACTAATTTTACACGCCAGATGAAGAACAAACCATTGATTGTATTCGCCACCACTGTCACCTATTTCAATATGCAAATAATTAAGTTGCGCTCCCAGATCACACAATCTTTTAGCTTCCGCCATTATCGGCGGATTTTGTGCCTCTTGTTTGTTTGCCATTGAAATACATTTCCACAAACGTAGATTCAGTTCATTTTGTACAGCTTTGACAATTGATTTTGACGATGTATTCTGCTCTGTTGCAAATGTCAATAACGATTTATTTAGCTTTTGATTAGAAAAATGTTCAGTTCCAACTTTGGTCAGTTTAAAAAATGCTTCTAGTTGCTCGACCTTATCATGTACAATACAAGCTTCAATCGGTCGATGTCCGTTCAAGTTCATCATTTCAATATCGGCATTGAAACTATTGACAAATACACTAATCAATTCCGGTGTACCATTGTTTGCCACTAATAAATGTAACAGACTGTCATTATTCGGTCCAAGTACGTTTATATCGGCACCTTGTTTTAACAAGTCTTGAACTTCCATTTGTGTCAAATCGGCTTTTCGTTCTCTAATCAGCGATTGTAATCGTCGATTGATACCTTCATTTTCTAGGAAGGCAATTATTAATGGGTTTTTCTGTGCTGCATTCTTAGCTATGCTCAACGGTTTTTGTTTCAACAAATTTGTATGCTGTGTATTGGATTGAGCGGCAACTAAATGCTTGACTAAATCCAAATTATTGGCTAAAACGGCATTGCACAACACTGTATTTCCTTTATCATCGGTCTATTCGGGATTTGCACCCTGTTGAATCCACTGAACGGCCATTTGCGAATCGACAGTCGGTTGAAACGGTAATAGATGAAACGGTAATTAAATACTTCTTTCAAATAATCAACAATTTGCTGTTGACATTTGGCCAATGTGAATACTGTTTGTCCTTGCGTGTCTTGCCGTGTGATTGCGAATTTATTTTGTGTCTCGTTTTCGACAAGAAACTCGATTGTTTCCATTGTTAAATCCGGTTTTCGTACAGCGTGACCGATCAAACCGAGTGGACCAAATGATTGACCACATTGACAACGATCGGCACCGAAACACTGAACTAAAACTTTCATTTCACCAATATCTCCTCTGTCCAGTGCATCGACTAACAATTTTGATGCGTGCGCTTTTAGTGTGTCTGCGAGCTGTTGACAAACGTCAGCCTGCTGAATCAGTCCGGCAAGACGATTCCGCTTTTCTTGTTCCATCACTATTTGAATCATATACTGACCATTTTTGTTCGGTCGTTTAATGTCACCACCATCTTGCATCAGTTTTTGCGCACGAACAGGCGAAGTGTGATGCGACGCATTATTATCGACGATTGACCACAGATCTTTTGTGTACTTGTTAATGACTGACCCTCCACCGCCCATTTTTAATTTCTGAAACATAAGCATAAGTAAGATTATTAACTCAATTTCTCAGCGTGGAATCGAGTGAACACATTTCCTCAATTTCATTTTTCTCCGCGCGGGGAACAGTCAGCAGAACCATGATAGTTGTTCGGAGAAGCGTGGATTAATTCTCATTCCCCCAGTTATGTGATTGCCATAACCAAAATTACGCGTTATACACGGCATTTTTCACACCAACGTCTATGAAGAGCTGTGTAGGATGAATGTGTGGATCAGAAAAATAATGCAGAAAATGCACTACTTTGACTTTTGGAAATCATGGAACTCTGAGAGAATGGACGGCCAATTCTATGGTTCTGCAAGGAATTATTATAGCTCTGCTGACACTTGCCCGACAGTTAAGAAATTCCTGTTTTCCAGTTCTTGGACAGTGCTGAGGGAAAATCAGAAATTTTCCAACATGGGACCGAGGTTTAAATAGTTTTGCGAATGCCTCGAGAATAGTCTAGGATGGCAAGACGATTCAAACATATTCAGAATCAGAAACATCAGATTGCTTTTCTGTGATATTTCCATCCAATCATTTTGAGTTTTATAAACTGAAAGTTGAAACCACCTTTTTATTAAGGCTGATAGAATAGCTAGTTGTATATGTAAGAACCTATTTTTGGACCCAATTAGGCCGCGTACACTATCCAGCATGTAAAACAGACAGTTAGTCGGGATAAAAGATTTTTTTAATTTCCGCGGTTATCGTTTCGATTAATCGCTAAATTTTTGCATTTTCATGACTTGGGAAGGCTATAGCTCTCAGTGGTGAAACATGAACAATCTTACCTTTAAGATATTTTGTTTGGATGTGTCTCGTCTTCTCTGTTTGTTACTCCTTATAATAATATCTGCTTCGTTCTTCTTTTCACGGAGAAAAAAGGATATGTAGTTAAACTATTTGCGTAAGTTTTTATTGTTTTCAGCGCTCTCTTACTTTCTTTCACCACACTATAATCTCTATTATACTATTATTCACCACACTGCTATCTCTATTATAAATGAGGTCAGCGGATGATGCAACGTAAATTCTTTTCAGAGAGAGTATTTTGAAAAGAGGAAAAAAGCTGATTTTGGGATTTCTAAAGATTTGTAGGAATTTCTCGAGATTTCATATATACGTTTCTGAATTATTTTACAATTTCCTTGGGCACCTGGCCGCAGAAATCATCTCTTCTTCATCCAGACGTCACGACAAACGATAAACCTTGATCACAAGTGATCATTTTCACTTATTTGATCGCCTCTGGATGTTACCGGGATCTTGCAATTTGCAGCATGCATCAGCTATCCGCACCGTAGCCAAGAGAGCGCGGAGAAAACGACAAACTAGAAAGGATTCATTATCATTGAGGTACATATGACGAATAGTCGCTGATCACAGCTCATAGGATGCTTGTTCAATCTTGTTTTTCTCATTTGACCTGACTATAACTCTTCCCGAGAGAACTAGTGTCCAGTTCCCGTTCCTTCAAAGAACTGATGACCAGTTCCAGTTCGTTTCGGAATCAGGATCAAACACTTATCCGACTGATGTATATTTCGTATATATATAACTTTTAGTTGACTTCCAGTTTTGGGTGAAAATCCTGGTAGTTTTATTTTTCATTAAAAAATTTGATGTCTCCATAGAGTTTATATTTGAATGAGCTGATAAAATAGTGAAAACGTGAAAATTCGGAAAAATGAAAGTAGTCGCATAGGATAGAAACAGACATCAGAGATCAGGTTGAGTTATGATAGAGAAAATTGAGAATTACGGACAGAATTCTGACTTTTTCGTCTCTGATTTAGAAACAATGAATTGTCTCAGCAACGGAACAAAATTTTAAAACAAACGATACGTACTTCTAAAGCCTAGATTTCAGCGAGTCTAATGATATGCAAACGAGGGCTGTAGTCCTTGATACGAAAAGCTAGATAGGTTTACAAAATTCGGTACCGATATTTGATAGTACTAGTTTGGGAGGTCCGTGTTGGATTGCCCTTTTACTTTCAACTTTATCAAAGCACGCTTTCTTATTCAGTTTTTGACGCGGAATAAGGAAAAAATAGTTTGAAACTTATATACTACGAAAATGCTCGAAAAACGAATTTGAGCGATTGTCGAGTTTTTGCGTTGTGTTGAGCTTTTTCGATCTTTCGACATCAGAACAATTTTTTGACTTTTAAAAATATATGTTCTTAACCAGCTCAACGAGTTCTATCGAACGATGTATGATAAGTTCAAAAAATAGTTTTGCTCAACTTTTGCATTACACGCACCTTAACAATTTTCAATAACAATAATATTAATAATACTTTGCAAAAGTCAGTTATTCTGACCATTAGTTTGAACATAAAATTTTTTAAGTATTAGATATTGTTCAGTTTGTTGCTTTTTCAAACGACATGTTGATCAAAATATTTGAATGAAAATTGTCGATTTTGTAGCTGGTAAACTAGACGGTGATTTTTTGACTTTTTTGGCAAGTTTTTTAGAAAACTCGATTTTTCCTATGAAAAAAAACGTATGAAAGACGGAAAAGGTATATACTTAATTTTAATCAGGATTTGACTGGAACTGGTTTCCCAGCAAAAAGACATTATTTAAAGTATTCTTTCTTTTATGGTCCTTTTCAGCTTTGGATCTTGTGGATCCCGATTTGTGTTGATTTTGTTATTTTTAAAATATGCATCAGGTGCAGAATTGTTTGCTTTATAACATATCACATTTCCATTAGCTCCCAACGTTTGGTTGCTTGACTATTCAGGTTTTTCCACAAAAACCTCAAAATTCCAGTAAAATCCTTTTATCCGACTACTATTTTAACTTTAATTTGATCAAACGTTTTTTTCAAATACCAGGTTTGGTTCAGTTTTCTACGCTCTTTCGAATGAAATTTCACTCGAAGAAATTGAATAAAAATTGACGGTTTTATAAACTTGATTTTCTCCCAAGAAAAAGGGCTCATAAGTGTAAAAAACATTTCGTCACCCCAGTTTTTCATGCTCAATCAAATGATGTAACTTTTAGCAAAATCTATGTTTCGCGTTTGACTGGTATACTCGGTGGCCTCGTTCATCACTTGAAAGCTAGTCAGTAGATACTCCTTGCTCTTCTAGAACTCGATAATACATGTTTATAATTCTGCGTTCTTCCTTTTTCTTAGTCTTTTCTTTTTCTTTTTTCCATCTTTCTTGTCCTTTACTCTCACATATGACAAAAATGTATTTCTCGATCGGGAAAGATTTTGATCCTATATCTCTTCAACATTTCTATACTATCAAATCTGCTAGAAGGGCGTCGAATTCACCTGGTACCGCGTTAATCAACGTAGTTTTTCGTGCGCTTTCCAACGGAACGAAGCAGAAAATGTGCGAAAGTGTTATCAAATGCGCTGAAGGGTCTCAAAGTAGACATGTCGAAATATTTCCCAAATGGGATAGATTTCGCTTTCCCGATTAGCATATAGTTCCCGATCAGGAAATATATCTTCTCTGAACGGGAAATATTTCCCGTTCAGGGAGTAACTCTTGGAAATGGACTATCATATAGGACTTGTTCCGATTCATAACAGGGAAGTGCAAGCTGAATTGTGGCATTCTTATACGCAACAAGGTATCTGCTACTGAAAGCATACTTTAAATCGGTATTGTTGTCTGTCGAAGCTGATCGATTTGACTTATTTGTAATTCGTTTCATTTAGAAGACATTTATTATGGAAATATGTATGTACGTTGTGTGATATATTTGCTTCCACGCCTGTCTAGTCAGCAGAAAATTTTTTCCGTCTTATAAGTACGTAAAATGTATCTTTTTAGCGTATTCTGAAACATTCGTTTTGCCGGAATTCTATGTTCCGATAAAAACACATCTTCCCTTTTGCTTGCTTTTCTTTTGATCTCGCTATTGAATCGATTAATAAATGCACTTTTCTAGAACTTCAAAACGTCCGTATTTTGTCAGTTTTTAAAAAATGAGCCCAAAATCTTTTTTTTAAAATGGAGGTGTTGTTTTAATTTAATTATTCTATCGTGTTGTTATTTAATTGTTCTCTCGAACTGAGAGGACACCGTTTGATTCCTATTTTGTACAAGTAAAGCAGGTTCTGCACTATTTATCTATTTATGTTAAAATAAAGTCATACTCGTCCATCGTGATTTGTCATCCAGTTAACGAAGTAAACAACATTGTTTACAGAACAAGATTTCAGCTGCGTAAATTGCTTTCAAAAGTTTAAAATTTATTTTTAAAACTGAAGCGTTTTCATCGCTCAAGTTCTGGCGGCTGATATGTTATGTTCTATATCACCTTTGCACTACAAGCACCACGTTAACTAGTTTTTGGTGGTTTTAAACTACGGCCCTACTGTAAGGAAACTAAATCTCGGTTGGGATATACAAAACAGCAGATATCCGATCGGGATGCATTTTTATATCCTCATTGGGATATACAGCTTGATCGGGATATATATCCTAACTGGCATATGGCTCCTCACTGTCTTTGTTTCATTTATGTTAAAATTCTGAATTACTATGCTGAGGCTTGATTGAATGAGTGTAATACCAAACTCCACGTGCCCGTTGCTATTTCGCCCCATGCTTGTTATTGTGGACGATTTTATCATGTATAATGGTGACGTTGTTATAAATTCTACAATGCTATCGGTGTTACAATAGACCTCAGCATAAACCTGTTCACTGAATTGAACACCAGCTGTAATAGCTATAGACGAACATGCCAAAACAATCCATGATTTCAGTATTATTAGGCTGATTTGATTCCATCATTCTACTTACCAATACATGCTCGATCTAGCTCCAATAACCTGTGATGAGCCATTCGCACATGCGCCAGAACCGGCACTATATACATAAATAACCATTGTAGTGGTACAGCACTTAGCGTTGATCTACCAGTACTCAAAAAATCTTCGCCCATGATAGCAACTATATATGTAGAAGCTGTTTGGCCCGTTTTAAAAACA